CTCTTTTCTATTTATTGACTTAAAAAGGAGAAGATTTCGCCTCTCAATGAAACTTAAATGGAGAGAATATGCCATGAATTAGTTTTTTGGCGGGCTTTATAGTGAACTGACGTGTTTTCGGAAAATTGTTCAACAAATTAGCAAGTGAAGGAAGAATAGTAGAAACAAATTTCAATTTCATAAATTAAAGTGAATTATGTTAACCATGAACGAAGAATAAACATCCAACAAAAATGTTATACACTTTGGAAGAATTTATTCGTCGCGTTCGGTGAGCAAAAACTAATTCGGTTCTCGTATGTAGTGTCGTGCGTCGTTTTGTTAAAAAAAAATCGTGTGTGTATGTCAATAGCATTTTATTCACTTGATACTTAAAATTGTTCAAAACCAAACAAGAGCTTTCGACATGGCCAACTACAATAACAAAAAATGAGTCAAAAACGAACAATGATATATATGTACAATGGCTTAACTGGTGCATATGTGAGAGTCTGTATTTCAACAAAAATATCAACAACAACAAAAAATGGAGAACAAAGGAAATGCAAATATTGAGATGGGAGATGGTTGTGCAAAAAGCTTTTTTCTATTTTACAAACATAATGTGAAAAATATATGCCCCCTTCCTTAAGGTGTCTCTTTTCTCTTTTTCGACTTAAAAGGGAGAAGATTTGGTGTCATTTAGGGCACCACGGCGGGCTTTATAACAAATCGACGCGTTTTCGGAGTAATTGTCAAATGAATTTGCAAGTGAAGGTCTTTAATGAATTGAAGGAAAATAAAAAAAAAAATAATAATAAAAGTAAGTTTTTTATAAACCTAGAAGAAAAAGACCGTGTGCTTCAAAAAATGATTGTAAGTGATATTCAAAACTTATAAATATTATTCGTGGCGTGACTTCAATCTGCAAAAACTCATTCGATCTCGTATCCGGTGTCGTTCGTCGTTTCGTTTTTAATTCGTGCGTGTGTGTCAATAGTGTTTTTTTTTTGACTTGTGATATTTTAAATTTTTAAAGCTAACAAGAAAACCTTTTAACTTTACCAAAAACTATACCTGAACTGAGAATATTGCTCAATGGGCAAATTTGCAAGTCTGACTTTGGACAACAATGTCAACAGCAATAACAAATGAAAAACAAAGAAAATTAAAATATTGCAACGAGAGATTTCCCGAAGGAAATGTGAGTAGTAAAAGCTTCCCTCCACTTCTTATACTTTTCAAGTTCAAGTTATCTTTGATCGAAGACGAAATTTGGTGTCATTTAGTTTTCCGGTGGACTTTAAGCTATATTAACGAAAGAAATGGAAACTACTTTCATAAAAAAATTAAATTCAAACATTGCAAAAAATGTCAAAAGTGCCCTCAGATAAAATAGAAAAAGAAATCAATAAAAATATTAATAAAAAGAATCAAATGTGAAAACATATCTGAAAGCCGGACGACTTTTCGGAAAATCAGATTTAAGTGTATTAAAAAATTAAACAATTATACGTGTTTAACCGGTCCGGTGTGAAAGATTTATTCGATTCGTCAATATCGGGTTTCGGTTCGGTCGTATGATGTTTTGTATATGTGAAATCGCGTGTTTGGTATTTCAGCCATAAATCAAATGAAGATTCATATTTAGAAAATATATACAAGAAAACCTTTTATTCTGTTAAAAAATATGCATGTCCCTGGCCAACTAAATACTAAAATTTTACTAATCGTGAAGGCTACACGATTCTTAAGTTGTTGGAGGGTTTTCTAAAGAGTGCTGTTGTAGATTCGTTTAAATGGATTTTTTTGGACCATGGAGCCTCTGTTATGACATAATGGTAAGTCTTTTCTCCTTTATGTATATAAATAAATAATTTCATAAGATGTGTAAATCCAAATTATATCTTCTGATATAATTTGCACCGCCTAGTTGTGATTTAACTGCAGATTTAACGTCACAACTTAATGTTCCAAACCAATTTTATTCGCAGCTTTTTCTTTATGTTTAGCAGATATAAAGCTAAAATCCATATTTGTGATTTGTTTTATAAAGTAAAGATTAAGGAGGGATAAAAAACTGCAACAAAGTCGAACGCCATCATTTTTACCTTTTTTTTCGTGAATTTTATTGAATAAAGCGAAAAATGACGGAAATAACATCAAATTTTAGAATAAGTTTAGATTTGTTCGAATCGGTCTCCTTTGGCACGAATTATGGTCTTCAAACGGCCAATGAAATCGTCACATGCTGCCCGAATGTAGCTCTGCGGTATTTTGGCCCATTCCCGGCGAAGGGCTTGCTTGAGGCGATCGACACTTTGGTATTTTTTAGTGCCAACATTGCTTTCCAAAATACTCCAGACACAATAGTCCAATGTCATAGTCTGCTGACCTCTTTGGCAAGTAAACACGATCATTTTGTTTCTTTCCAAACTGCTGGACAACGAATGTTTTCTCATCGGAGAAAACGAAATTCGGCAGTTCACCACTTTCGACCAAGCGAAGCAATCTTCTGAGTCTATTTTCTTTCTGTTGCGGTGTAAGTTCTTGCACTTTTTGGAATTCCAATGACTTTACCCCGAGCTCATTGTTCAATATTTGCCGAATGGAATTTTCGATATTTTCAGCTCACGAGCATTTTCGGCCACTGCTACGTCCACTTCGTTGACGTCGGGCTACGCTACCAGTATCACGGTAACGAGCGAGGGTATGAGACACAAACGATTTATTCACATTTGAATGCTGGAGTGCCCTAACGAGAGCCACTTGTGGTTTCCCAACCAAATATAAAGAAATCACACTATCACGGTTGAATTCTATCACGAATAAATGTTTTTCTGGAAAATGCTCACCAAAATGATTTTGTACGCTCGTAAAAAATATATAATGAAGCTGTCACTGGAATAACTTTAACAGCTGTCAGACTGTGACTTAAAAAAGGAAGCAGTCTGAAGTCGGTTGCAGTTTTTTTATCTCACCCTATAGGCTGTGTTATATCCTGTACCGAAAGTCACTGTCATAGAGCGCATATTACAGATTTGGCAAAGCTTAAATATAAAAACGGCTAAAACATTCTTGAAATGCTTTTCCAAATCAACGTTTGTTGGTCCTTGAAAAAAATATTTTAAAAAAAATCCACGTTTTTTGGTCCTTGAAAAAATATTTTTTAATAATTTCACGTTTGCTGGTCCTTGAAAAAATTATTTTTTAATAATTATACGTTTGTTGGCCCTTAAAGAAAATATTCTTTAAAAAATCCGCATTTATTGGTCCTTATTATTTTCAGAGTTTTTAGTCTGAAAAAAAGTTTCAACAGCAACAATTATTTTATATTGTTCACCACTTCACACTCGGAATGAAATAATTTCATTGAACACTTTCTGTGCTAAAACACTGAATTCTTAATAAGGCCTTTTCGATATTGACAAACTGCTATGATAATAATGATCACCTTATCCCTGTCACTTGCTCTCAAACTATTTGTCTGTTTGTCGCCTTTATAGGTGTAACCTAAGCACGTGCCGTTACAAATTCGTATGCTAATGAGAATATGAAGTGCATTAAAAACAGTCTTGTTGTTCTGTCTTTCGCACATGTGAGAGATGAAACCAAATACTCTCAATGTACAAAGTTAACGAGATACCGAAATTGGTATTGGAAATGTGACAATGAAGATCACTGATGTGATGGTGTAAATAAAATGCACCCCATAAAACGAAGTGTAACATTTGATACCCTCCGATCATAATTGGTGCCGATAATTGTCACAATCCTAATCATAAATTGCGGTTTTTATATCATGAAAACAAGGTTGTTATCCTTTCAAGACGTATAAATACCAAGTACAATTGCTAGAATGGTTTTAGTTCTAGAATAGACTTTGGTCGGCAGACTAGAATAAACGATGAACACTTATTGAAGAGTATCGGATTGTCAATGGCTAGGATTAGAGAAGGAGATATTCTGTCATCTTGAATCGCATCATAGACAACTGCTAAGGGAATCTGGCGGTAAAATTTGTCGCTAAAGGACCTACAACATGAAACGCTGGTACTTGTATGGCCCGAAAGTCTCTATTGGCTTTTCCAAAATCATCAGCAAAATACGCGATTAAATGGTATTCAAATTGGTGTTTTTCATATTGGTGAATCCCAGCGCATGAAATATAGCCTGCAACTATTTGGACATCCTCAACAACAACTTGGTCCGTACTTGACTCAACAAGATCATGCTCCAGATCAACGCCATAACGATCTTAATGAATTGAATGTTGATTTTAAGTTATTCGATAAGAGAGATCCTTTGAGAAAATAACCCCTCCTCTTTGATCGTAACAATATGAGAGAAACATCGATTGAAATTTAAAATTTAAATTTATAATATTGAATTAAATTTTATATTTTTAATGAAAATAGGAAATAATGTATGTATTTCAATCATAGCCAAGACAGTATGTTAATTATTATGCCCGACACACAGTCTTGTTTGGAGGTATTATAAGTTTAATTGCGCCAAAAAGTTTGTAACATCTTGGAATATTGGTCCTAGACCCACGATGTTACATATCTTGCCGAGTTGAGTCGTTCTAGCTATGTTTGTCCGTCCGTCCGCCTGTCTGTCTGTCCATCTTAATTTGTAATCTCGCTACAGGAATAATTATGGTCCGATGGTTTCGATGGAATTTTTTCGATGCGGGAATTTTCATATAAACTGCCACCTTACCGGCAATCAAGGTATTTTTCAGGTTTTAATAGCATTTTCGAGAATATAAATCCTTTTGTCACAAAATTTGCAATAACATCTTGGGTTCTCATTGGATGGAAATTAGATGCACGAAAGTAGAAGATGCGCAGTTCGAATTAAACCCCATACAACTGTGTTGATTATTTATTGTTGGAATGCTAAATCCCAATTCTGGTTACAATTAAAGTCACGCTTACTTTCATATTGTGCCCAAATTTTCTACACTCTACATTAAAAACTCTACCAACCAAAATTTTTTTAAGTTCTTTAATGGAACCCAAATTATTGAAAAATATGGATGTTTATTGTACAATGAAAAAAAAATCATTCATATAAATAATACAAAAATATATAAAAAATAAAACATTTAATGTCCAAATTATCATTACTCATATGTACATTAGTGCTTTAGACAATTTTCTACGTGTGATCGCATTTGCAATTTCGTCCAAAATTGTTTACCACAATTGCCACATTTAAACGTGTCTGGGTCCAGGTGCACTCGACAATGCTCAACGAGAGGAAATCTTCTATAAAAACGTCGGTCACAGCATAAAACATACAATTTTTTATTCGGGTGTTCCGATTCAAAATGTTTTTTCAAATTGGCAAACGTTTCGAACTTTTTCATGCAAACTACACAATCCAAACTTGATTTCCATTTCGCAATAATACCATCCAATTCTGGGAAGGATTTTCTTTCTCTATTCTGTGTGGAAGGGTGCGTTTGTTTTTGGTGAAGAGCTAAGTTTAACCGACGTTGGAATATTTTTCCACATTCGTTGCACTTAAATCCTTTTATGACTTGATGTTCCATGATATGTTTTGCGAGGTGGGTTTTATATGTATATCGTTGTTGACAACATTTTACAGAAAATTTGTAGCCCTTGTGTTCGGTGTCGAAATGTTTTTTCAACAGATAGAAATTGGGGAACTGTTGTGGACATGCGATACATTGTAACATTGGCAGCCATTGCGCTATAATATCATCCATATGGTCTTTGCTTATGTTACCAGGTTCTTTGTATATTATCATTTTTCTTGTTATTTGGTTTCGCTTTTTAGCACAGGCAGTATATATTTTCAGATTCATTTTACGCGGCTTTGGTCGTGTATTAAGGCCTCTAAATTCAATATTTGTTTTGGCATTATCTTTGTCATCGTTATTGTTAGCTTTTTGTACATTTTCACGATTTTCAATTGTTGTCTCATTTTCACATTCCATTATATCCATGTCTATCTGTTCATTTTCTATTTTTACGTCGACAGCAGGGTTTTCAAGTTGTGAAACTTCAATATCGTTTGTTTCGCTATCATTTTGTTCAATTTCTTTTCCAGCCATTTCAATATCATCTGTTACTTCAACTTTTACGATTTGACTAATTTCCGAAGTCGGGGATACAACTAGATTGAGTCTGGAGGAATCAGGATATACTGTAGTAAATACTTCTTGGTTATTCGAAACTGTTGCATTATTAGTAATTGCGTTCTCCTTGGCTTGGCTCTTTAATTTTTCAATAATTTCCGTTTCCATACGAAATATAACATCCTGAAATTTATAAAATTCATAGATTTGATTCCAACATGCGGAGCACATACTCTTTAGGTGATTGCCATTTTTCAAATCCAAAAACTGCAAAAAAAAACAATAAATTTATTAATAATGTTCATCTTTAAAAACATTATATATCTGCGGAATAAATATCTTACCCTAGAATGAAAGTAATTTGCCGAAATTTTATAAACTTCACATGGACTATCATATTCATCGTATAATTCCTTTAACTCCTCAGTAGAGTTATTTCCACACAAACGACACATTTGTTGTTGAATCATCTTAGGACTATATAAATCATCAAATGTTGGCAAAAGTTTGCTGTGAAAAAAATTTTTTTTGCGATGAGAACAAAGTATTGTATTTTATAGCTCCGCAATATAAAATGTATGCTGGGAATTTTTTTGAAAAACATTGCCTTATGACGTAGATTATTTTAGGGTGCAATGTACAATACTTCGATATACTTTTGAAGTCTGCCATTTGTTCCAATTTTCGCCAACAGGACAGTCCTATCACAAAGCACTTCCTGCTAAAAATACAAGTTAACTTGACCTGCTCAATGAAGGTGTGGTACCGCTACCCTAAATTACTCATATTGGTTACAACAATTCAAACTAAATAGTTGACCTCAATACAGATATCTGAGTCTAGAGTTGCATGGATTGGAAATAAAAAGGAGTTTATTAAAAAAATAACAGGCGAGGATTGGTGGCTCTTAACGAGCTTTAGTCCTACCGCCTTACTCTTGATAAACAATGTAATTTTTTCTCCACTAAACTTTTATATTTTTGCTCAATTCCAAGCAGCAAGGAGGGCGCTGAGACAATGGAAAGCTGGAGGGTGGCACTATTAACGATCAGTTCATGTGTGGGACCTATCCTAGATGTATGTAATAGAATTAATGATCACATATTCATTTCACTAACTACTTTATTCTTCCTAGAATGAACACAATGGACCACACGTCATTGAGTGAAACAGTTGCCGACTCCGGTATGGCTGCGCATCACTAAAACAAGGTCTATATTTATTTTGGGGATATGGGCTTGGTTTAAATATACGCAGCTACACAGGAGTTTGCTGTTGCTTCACATGAAGACCTCTAGTCCATTATGTTCATCCAATGAAGATATAGAATTAAAATTATATCTCCCACCAACCAAATTGCCTTTGCTTTTGATAACACGGGACATCTGCGTTGTAGGTTTTCAAACCTCTCTACCTCTACCTACCTTCATCATACTCACAGAGAGTCAGGACCATTGTTAACCCATTTTGAGGTCAGACATCTGATACTGCAGTCGAGAAGAGAACTAGTTTTTCTTCTCAATAGTGCCGGTCAGACCTCCTTTTTATGTTTCTCTTAAACTGTTTTCAAGTGCTAGCTTCTTCGGTAAGAGCTAGATTGACAATCTCAGAAGTCGATAGATCAATTGGATGGAAATCAAAGATATGGGATCGGTCAAGTTATTGTTACTTTGATGATTTTCAAAGAGATGTTGCATTATATTTTCATGCTTTTTCAAGCTTTTACACAACAATATTCTTTTTTCGGAAGGATAAAACTGATTATCTTACTTATCAGACATGTATATCATCATTCAAATCAAAAAACGTTCAATTGCGGACCCAATTACTATGGTCTGGAAGCCAACAAAGATTAGTGAAACCACGTATTTCCAAGAGTACTTAAGGGAAATCAAAAACGATTTCTATTATATTTCTATCAAAAGTAGGTCTTTCACCAATCTTTGTTGGGTTCCATTGCAACATTTCTGGCATTGACGCGGCAGCTGCATTGGAACGACGTGGGTCCGTCAATTGATATTGAGGTCGACAACTCGGTTCAGCCCTCTTTGTGACACTCTGGGAGATTTGAACAAAACTCCCAGAAAGAAAGGGGATATAATGACTCGAAGAACATTGGGCCTACAATCTCCGAGATGAGACCAAGGTCACTCATCTCCGAAATTAGATCTTAAACGTGTGTTGGGGGATCAGAAGCAAATTGAGTTTAGGGGCTATGCATAGATCATTTGAAATTTTAAGGCAATGTAATTTTTTCGAGGGGGAAGTACCCGGTTATTTACCCGAAAGCACGGATAAAACATTCCATTCCAAAACCGTTATCTACAAAATATGTAAGCTTATGGAACCTATCCAACAAGTGGTCATATACCCGGAGTAATGCCAGAAAATTGGTATTTTTATACCAGTACTTTTTAAAAAACCCATTATGGAGTACTAAGATCTACATGCTTCATTATAGCCTGCACTCTTGTCTTTCCAAATTGTTACCATATGTGCTGATATCTTTTATAGTTCCAAAGATATTAGTGATTCAAATGATGAAATTGAGATTCTCTCCACTAGTATAAAGACCTACACGTGGTAAAAATGTCAGGTCAATCCGAGCATAGCCTCTAAAGTTAACTTTAGCCCACTGCATCCTTTCCAAACATGAGGACGAACCTGTATGGTCAACCATCTACTCTGTCACTGTCCAACATTCTGCCATGTGAGACGTAGGCTTTTGGGGGGAGAAAAAAAGGAAAATCTGTCTACATCCTCCAACACATGAGCAGCAGTTATTCAGGAAATTAAAGTGACTAAAGACGACACTATAATTCTCAATTCGTGGATAACAAACGAAGTCAACTGCGCATCTTTTTACCAAACATAAAGGTTTTAGCACCAATTAACAGCTGAATTGGCATTCATATGCCATTTTGAGTTGTTATTGAATATTACCAGTTTGTAATATTAATAAGCAGAACATATTTTAGCAAAATATCTTGGTAGTCTGCATTTTTTTTAATTGCAGGACGGATGACTAAATCCATATACCTTTAAAGCTCTGCTTATTATCCCTAATCTTCTACTATGGATTCTTATAGCGACAATAAATATATTCTATTTTAAAAAATCAATGATGGTTCGAATTTATGTGATAAGAAAATAAATTCTATCTTTCTTGCTAATGAACATTTTACTATGAATTCCTTATCATTCCAGCATCGGAATTTGTGCTTTGACGTCTATCCATGGCGCGAACTACACTTTTGTAGCTTTGAAACTGCTAATACGATTTTATCATTATCAACTCATCGTTAGCTAACTATAGGAATAATGGACATAATCTTTATCCACAGTCTCTTGCCATAGGGCAAACATCGGAATTTAGTGTTACCAATTAAAATGCGGCGTGTCCTTGGGTTAACCAATAACATGTGCAAATATACATTGGCTTACCAAAAAGGTGACAGCACTTCTCTACAAAATAAATATAGAGCCGGAAAATCATACTACAGGACAAGGTGATGAAGGACAACGTGCTATGGTTGTATTGGTTTTAAAATAGAATCATTGCAAACACCAACACATAAATAAACTGCACGGCGACCCGCAAATTCGAAATTTCTTCAACTGTCCTTACCTCTTTTCCACAAGGCAGCAACGGTGGGTAATTAAAGTTGCCTAATATATAAATAACAAGTTCTTTTTTTCTTCGACACTAATGGCGTCAGGCGGAAAAAGTTTTTTCTAGTCAGTTGTTATTTCTTTGTATTTTAATTTGGAAAAAAATAGAAAAACAATGCAGGACCAAACAAACAAAGTCTCTTTCGACTTCCGATTAATCGAATAATCGACTTTAAGTACTCAAAGTTCTGAAACTCGAACTCCACTATGGACTTGGATGAAAACCGAGTACTCGACTATTCATAGTTGATTGTTCGACTTATGCTATGTTCTCATTGCAATTTAAATCACGTTGTTCGCTCTCAAAATTGGGTACACGAATTAACCTGTTCACACGGCACGATTCGTAATTAATTTTTTAAAATTTTTTGTTTGTTGATTTTTATAGCAGCCTGTACGAAAGTACATGCAATTAGCATTAATAATAATGGAAGAAATTTTTTTCCCCCAAAGATTTATTTTATCTTTCATTTAACAATTTTCATTCATGAATGATTTAAGACTTTGTCTTATTGGAATTTTAGGTCTGGTTTTGGTTTTGAAACATGAGAAAAACTGAATTGTTGAATACCAGAGCCGCTCATCAACCTACGCACCAATCTTCTTCTTCTTACGACATAAATTCCAGAGTTGTTAAATACATATGTTGCTTAGGCCCTGTCCCATGGTAGAAGAATATAGGTAGACGCGTCGACACAGCTGCTGGGACAATGAGCTGTCAAACCAATTTTGGAATTGAAAATGTTGAATGAAAAATTATTTAAATTTGTAAAAATTGTTGAAAAACGCGAGTTATAATAGCCTCCGAATGACGTAGTATAAGAAAACATATAAAAATCTACTTATATTTGAAAAAACATTTACATTTTTTTGACATATCAATGCTCCCAAGCGTTGATGCAACTACCTGTATTCTTCTGCCATGCCCTGTCCACACACAAATAGTTTCAATATGGCGAATGTCATGAAAAAATGACTCATGATTGTGTTGTTTCAAACGTTTATACTGCTCTTTCAAGAGTTCAATAGTTTTTTCTTTCCGTAATGACTTTTTATCATTGTTTTTTTCCGGGCGATCGAGATGCTTGGATAGTAGTTACTTCAGTCTCGTCATCAGCATTGTCCACTGGCTCAATGTCATGATCTATAACGTCTGTTACAATTATGTTTTCCGCATTTTTTACTCCAAGTGCACCACCTGGTGGATTCAGTAACTTTTGAAACTGCATTACATTCGCGACAGACTTCTCGCAAGGCGACAAAGCCATTTGCTTAAAAATACCACCTCCAGTGGCTGCTGTCTTCACCTTTATTGTGCACATCTCTTATTGTGCACAGTCTCTAATTGGAGGCCCGTATATATTAAATTTTGTAGCATCGGATTCCCAATCTGATTTAAAATTAACTTGAACATGACCTTTGGTAAACCCTTTTGCCAAACATAGTTTTTTTCCAATTCGGAAACCAACATTGCCGTCACAATTTTTTACGTCGACTGTTGTATCGACAATGATAATAGCAATCATTTGTCGCTATCGACATAAAACGACAACCCTAATGTCATTATTGTCGCCTCGACTTAATTTTGCGACGACGACGACAACCGTAATAGGGCCGAATATTTGTTGGGCCCAAGGACAAACTCTATAGAAATTTGTGATAATCGGATGAGACTTAAATATAGCTCCCATATTTATTCAACCGATTAATTAATAATTGTACACCAAATGACCAATATAAGTCCAAATGACCTGAATTTTGGCACAGCCGACAGAATTCAGTCGTGAAGTAAGTATTTGGTGAAAATCGCTTCAGAATTGGATATGCCTCCTATATATTAGTTCCCTCTGAAAACAATTTATAAGTGCTCTGAAGCCAAATGTTGATGGGTGGTATCATGGTATAATGAAGAGAAGGTAGGTCAACTTTGAAAAAATTGCAAGTATAGAGGTCTACCTGTTTGGCTTGTAATGTCAGACTTAGTATCAAAACAAAAAAAAAATCAAACAACTTGTTGCATTTATTTTGAATAAATAATTGAAAAAACGCGATAACTGAATGAAAGGTCAACACTTCTTTTCAAAATCATGTACTATATATCTCTAAAGGATTATTTCGCTACAAAAACTCTAGATTTTGTCGATGCATACGTTGAAATAAACATTTTGAAAACACCCGAATTTGAATATTTTCTGAACATTTTTTTTGTTATTGAAAGGAAAACACATACATAAACAAATAAAGATGACATATTAAGTCAAGAAAATAAAAAAATTGAAATCATATGGTATCATTTGGAGCTCTCAACTCTGTACAAAAAAATATATGGGTCGGTGCAGTTCCTATTTAAAAATTTGGCCATATTTTTGGTCTTTGGAAATTTTGATTCCATATTTAAGGTTCATTTTTGTAATAAAAATTTAAACTCGAGAATTTGACCTGCAAACCCTACCTCGAAACCTCTAGTTGTAATTTGTAGTATTACATTTAAAATTCGAATTACTCCATTTGCAAACACATTGAATACACACAATTTAACACCTAATATACAAAAGCTATTTTATTATATTTATAAGATAAAAAAAACACTTAATGATATAAACAAATACAAATGCATGTACATGCATTAAAGTAATCGTAGTTTATTATTTTTGGTAAAACTTATTTAGGTACTTTTAATTTAATTTTAATCTTGGCGTTTCAAATGTGTTTGAATGTGTTCCTCCATACGATACCGGGTTGAAAATCTATTTCGACAGCATACCGTATAAAATTTATCATTGGGATGTTTTAATTCAAAATGTTGTTTCAATATTGTAAATGTGTCATAGCTCTCTTTACAAACGACACATTCCAATTTCGGTTTCCATTTTGCAATATTATCATCCAATTCTTTGTATGTTTTTCTTTCTCTGGTCGGCTCCAAGGGTACGCATTGATTAGCTTTGTGGGCGCACAAATTTGCCCGATTCGTAAATACGCGGCCGCATTTTTTACACCTAAACACATAGGGATCAAAATGCAAACAGACATGTTCGGCAAGGTAACAGCGATAGATGAAGTTACGCTGGCAGCATACGACGTAAAATCGTTTATTTCTATGCGCTTCTTGAAAATGGTCTTTTAACAATGTAAAGCTGGTGTATTTGTTTTCGCATTCAACACATTGTAGTGTTGGAAGCCATTGGGCTATTAAATCATCAGCATCTTTAGCCGTTCTCTGATTCGATTCCACAAATTTTAAAAATATTGGATTTTGTTGGGACCTATAAGAGTTGTCCTGAGGAAGAGTTGCGAAATTGTCCATTCTTATACGCTTTCGCCTGCGTCTTTTTGTAAACTCCCTTCTTGGATTATAATCTACATCATTGTCATCGTTATTCCCCAATCTATTGTTTTCAGGTGATTTCGTATTCTCAGCATTTGCCGGAGTGCTTTCATGGGTTTTGTCTGTTTCACTTTCCGAGTTCAATTGAGTATCTAATTCCTCTAGTTCAGAATAGGAAATATCGTAATCGTCCTCAAATAATCTACCAGAATGTAAGCTTTGTTTCATTTGCTGCTCTGCATGCTCCTCTTCTTCACTATCATCTGATATTTCATACGATTCAAATTCACAAGGTATTTTATTTTCCAATTTTACAATACACTTTTCTGGGCCATTTGTTTTACTTTCGGTGGAGTGTTCTGTTAATTTTGATGCATCAGAGAAATCTTCCTCATTCCTATTGTTCGTAGTTTCCTTTATCTCTTGCAGCTTTGCCATAACGTTTGTTTCCATTTGAAAAACAAATCCTTGGAATTTATGAAACTCATAAATATGATTCCAACAATCGGAGCATAAACTTTTCAGATGATTGCCATTTTGTAAATCTAAAAACTAAAAGAAAACACAAAAATATGAAATGTATCTGCGTAATTAATAAAACATTAGCACAGATCATAAGAAGTTTCCAACAGACAATAGTTGAAACAAATTCCTACTCTAATCATAAAGCTTACCCTCGAATTGAAGAAATTTGCTGTAATTCTGTAACCTTCGTTGGGATTACCATCATCATCGTATATCTCAAAGAACTCATCGGAATAATCATTTCCACATAGACGGCAAATAAATTCTTTTGTCATAGTGCTGTTGAAGGGAAAGAAGTGAAGTTAGCAACGTTTTTTTTTTTTTTTTTTCAAAAATTATACACTCGATTGAAATAATGTAATAATTGTTACATACTCCGCTGGAACGTACTCTGCAAACCTGTTCCATTTTTAAGAAGCTTAAATTTAATATAACATATTTTCAGATATTCAGTATGGTATAATACAATTCCATTTCTGAAGCAATTGCTCTACTATAATGGAATCCTTCAAATTTGGATTCTTCATCACTTGATATAAAAAAAATATATATATAAAAGAGATGGAATTCCTTCGACACATAACAATAGGGAAAATGGGAAGATACTTTTTTGGTAACTCTTGAGGAGAATATTCCCAATCAAAAGCCAAGGGAACTAATGAGCTCATTTTAAAAAAGATTGTGTTTATTGTAATTTAATAATAACAAGTAAAAAAGCTGTAAGTTCGGTCGGTCGGTTGAACTTTGAATATCCTCCACCATTTGGAACGACTTTGGCAATTTTCAAAAAAATAAAATCCGTAAAAAATTCTGCTAAAAATTGTTCAGAAAATATTCAAATTCGGGTGTTTTCAAAATGTTTATTTCAACGTATGCATCGACAAAATCTAGAGTTTTTGTAGCGAAATAATCCTATAGAGATATATAGTACATGATTTTGAAAAGAAGTGTTGATTTTTCATTTAGTTATCGCGGTTTTCAATTATTTATTCAAAATAAATGCAACAAGTTGTTTGATTTTTTTATTGTTTTAAAACTAATTTTGACATTACAAGCCAAACAGGTAGACCTCTATACTTGCAATTTTGTCAAAGTTGACCTACCTTCTCTTCATTGTACCATGGGCTGTAGTATCCATTCTAACTTCAAATATCAAATTTGACACAATTCCGGTTGATAATGTTGCTAAAATCATCAAAATACCGAATAAAGGTAGGTACCATTTTATGGGGGTATAAAAAGACGTGGACATGCACAGACGATTTTCTGTCTTAGGCTGCAGTATCCATTACGAACTTCAAATACCAAATTTGAAACAAATCATCAAAATACCTAATATCGGAAGGTACCGTTATATGGGGGCATTACTTCAAATACCAAATTTGAACCGATTCCGATGAATAATGTCGCTAAAATCACCAAAATACCGAAAATAGGTAGGAACCATTATATGGGGCTATACCAAAACGTGGATCTACATGGCCCATTTTCAATACCAAAAGTCCTGCAGACATAATATACATTTGAGTACAATTCTTTAAACCTTCGTTTCGTTCGGAAGCTAGAGTGATTAACAGAGACAGACGGGCGGACAGACATCGCCGAATCGGCATATAATTTTATGCTGATCAAGAATATATATACTTCGTGGGGTGTAAAATTTATAATTGTGAACCTATTTTGAAATGACAAAATAACTACTAGGTCGCAAACAGAATTAATTATCAATAGCAAATAGTTCATCACTAAAGACTGTCATTAAGTTTTGCTGCGTTCCAGGTCCCGGGGGTGTCAACGACACAGACTATGAAAAAGAAATATAAATAAAACACAATAGTTTCTTCTTAAATTGATAATATTTTTATGGCTGCAATAACTGAAGTCTGTCTTTATTTGTTTTTTTATCTCCCTCTCAAGAACAAGAAGAATACAATGGACCTGAATGTCCCCGAGTGAAGCAATTACGTTGCACGTTCAATGCTTTTGTATGGGGATAGTTATTTGTTTAATATTCAACATATATTTACCTTGAATTTATGATTTGTCCTCGCAATTAAATTTTCGGGGGATATAAGCGCTGAATATGAAAAATACCACTCTTTTATTGCGTGTGTGTTATCCACCAATTCTAAGATTTTTGTGTTTTCGTCTGGTCCAAATAGGCATCCAATTTTGATTTTTTTATGAATAAACGGAAAATTGTTCCATGTTACAATATATATTAAGCCTATTATTACTCCTTCTTCGCCATCTGAAGATTTAAGCTTCAAAGAAAACCATATGAATGAAAGATATATACCGATTTATAAAGGTCATGATTTATTCTTACCACCAGTTGTGATGAACAGCAAAGTTCGCTATTTCACTGTTTTTAAAATATCAAATATTCGGAGTACAATCCAATTTATATTTATTACATTTATATCATTTCAATCAAAATGTTTTTGTTTGTGTTTTGTTCCGGAATAAAATAGTTCAATGGAACTATTTGGTGAAACGAACCGTCGAAACTACATCCAGTTCTTTCGTTCATCTAGTTGCTTTGGTTCACTTAGCACTTTTGTATTTTACCCTACGTTTATACACGCAACAAGTTGTTTTGTTTATTTGACTCTTTTTCTTAACCCTCCACCGTTTGCAATTCCTCAAATAGGCATTTTAGTGTATATACTCTTATGGACTTTACCTTCTTAATTCTACTATGAATTTTTAATTCAAAATTTTCAATTCCAAAATTGGCATTTCATTGACCTAGCAGCTGCGTCTGTAACTCATTTTTTGAGTTACCGAAAAAATCGGTAAAATTCAAAAAATCGGTAAATTAGCTTACTTCCCACTTATATTTTGTAATAGCATGTTTCCATTGGAAACCGAACAACGTTGTTCGCTCTCAGAATTAGGTACACGAATTAACCCGTTCATACGGCACGATTCGTAATTCATAGTAAAATAAGTCCTTTTTTCAAAAAAATGGTTTGTTGATTTTAAAGGGAATGTATACGAAAATACATGAAATTCTCACTAATATGAATATAAGAAATTATTGTTTTTCTCCCAAATATTTATTATATCATTAATTTTACAATTTTCATTCACGTTTTCAACTTTTTGTGTAAATGCTGACATTTTGAACATATTTTTGTGTTTTTCCATTTTAAAATTCTGCTGAAGAGACACTTGTCAAACATTTTTTCTGCCGATAGAAACATTTTGAAAATATTGACTATTTTGTTTGCAGTTTTCTGTAGAAATTTTAACTCGTGGATCAAATGCGTACTTCGAATAAGAGAGAAAACAAAATTTACTTTCATTTGAATGTACATACGCCATTCAACATTGTATTTTTCATTCATAATTTTCAGTCTTCCCAAAAATTTTTAAAATTTCATTAAATTTTTCTATTTATAATTTTTAAATGTCATAATTTATTTTTTCGATAAATGCTCTCATTTGTTAGGGATGGGACATATTTTTTCGTTGTTCTGAGAGTGATTTGATTTGAACAACGTACAAATATGAGTGTTCGCTCAGGAAATTTTGTGTGAAGAATTAGGTAGTTTTTTCATAGTTAAGGGCCAAACAACGAATAGAGAGCGAATCAAGTGCAGTGGAAACGCCACATAATATGTCTTTGTGCATTTGTTTGTTTGGAGAAGGAAGCGAGATAGAACCATATTTACTTTTGAGGATTTTCATAGAATCACTTTCTGAGTCGATTTATGCATGTCTGTCCACGTATTCTTGTGAACTAAAAGCAGTTCACATTTATTACCCGATTGAGATGAAATTTTCCAAACAATATTTGTTTGACCCTATTGAAACTGGTGAGAATCGTTTCGAATTTAGATATAACTCCCATATATATCATCTGCCGATTTCGGGTTAATTGTGCACAAAATGGCCAATATCAGTCCAAATGATTTGAATTTTGGAACATCCGACCGAATTCAGGCTTGAATCAAGTACATCTAGAATCAAGTACATCAAATAGATTCTATATATATGTTTCATCCGATTTGGTGTTTAAGTCCCTCACATTCGTAATATGCACTCCAAAAGTATGATATTTGGTACCAGAAATTGTATCAAGATCGGTTCAGATTTGAATATAGCTCCCATATATATCTTCAGACGATTTCGGGTTAATTGTGCACCAAATGACCAATATCAGTCCTAATGACCTAAATTTTTGCACATCCAACCGAATTCAGTCTAGAAGCAAGTACATCAAATTTAATAAAAATCGATTCAGATATTGCTATATCTCCCATTTATATGTTTCACCTCATTTGGTCATTAAATCCCTCACATTCGTAATATGCATTCGACAACAATGATATTTGGTACCAAACATGGTACAATGAAGAGAAGGTAGGTCAACTTTGAAAAAATTTCAAGTATAGAGGCCTACCTGTTTGGCTTGTAATGTCAGAATTGCTATCAAAACAATAAAAAAAGCAAACAACTTGTTGCATTGATTTTGAATAAATAATTTAAAACCGCGAAAACTGAATGAATGGTCAAAATTTCTTTTCAATATCATGTTCTATATATCTCTTATGGTTTATTTCGCGACAAAAACTGTAGATTTTGTCGATGCATTCGTTGCAATAAGCATTTTGAAAACACCCGAATTTGAATATTTTCTGAACAATTTTTTATTATTGAAAAGAAGACACACACATAAGCAAATGAAGTTGACATATTAAGCCAGAAAAATAAAAAAATTTAAATCATATGGTAGTTCTGCCCTACCTTGAATTCATTGTACCATGGTACCAAATATTTTTTTATAGGTCTCTTATATATATTTTAAAAACGTCTTCGTCAAATTCAGTGGAATTGGGCTTGAGTTTTTAGTTAACAAAAGAACTCAAACCGGCTGATTGAATTTTTGCGTTGTATGAGAAAGGTCCGGAATTCCATTTTAAACTAATCCTCATAGATTAGGCCAATTTCCACTATGTCAACAAGCAGAATTTACTCACCGAGGGCTTGAACAGCCCTAGTCCTACCGTTAGGAAGCATTATCCTCAGCGTATCACAATTTTGTGGGGTTAATTTTCCGCTGTTGTCATTAGACACTAATATCTTGTTATATATTGCCTTAAGAATTTTTCTTTTGGATCCCTTCAAAAATAATGTCTGAAATTCGTATGAAGCCCATTTATATGGTAGTAATACCTTTTGCTTTGTTAAATTCGTTGTTGCGATTCGGCTGGCTGGCTACCTTATTGAATATGCCATGGATGGGGCGAACACACACATCTTGGCTGATTAGACTTCTGTTCGATAAACACTGTTATCGCTGCTTATGTTATGCAATTTTGACAATATCTTCGTGTGGAACACATTCACACACATTAGGTTCAACCTGTTGGTGGAGCAAGGCATTCCTTATTATTTGTGTTTTTTTTCCGTAGAAGTGGTTCGCTATAAGTATGTCGGCATTTTTGAAGGCTTCCAGATTAATGGGCTCTGTGGCTCCAGCCCGTTTCTTTAGCTCAAAGATCAATGATGTTGTCATTGTCTCGGCCGCTCGTACACCTATGGGCAGTTTCCAATCGCAGTTGGCTCCCATGAGTGCCACTCAATTGGGTGCCGTTGCCATTGAAGCTGCTGTCCAAAGAGCTGGCATCAGCAAGGAAGATGTCCAAGAAGTCTACATGGGTAATGTAGTATCTGCTGGTTTGGGTCAAGCCCCAGGTAAGGAAAATATGCTACATATGGATTGGGGGCTTAATTGTTTTTGTAACAACACAGAATTCTTAATTAACCAATATATGGGGTGATGTGTGCTTGTTGTTGTTAGTGTAATGTGTTTTTTTGGAGAAATCAAGTTATTTAAGAAGCCGAATCAAACATAGCAAGCATGATTATGCAAAGTAATTGCGTTCTTTATTTTTAGCCAGACAAGCTGCCATCTTTGCGGGTTTGCCCAAAAATGTTTGCTGCACCACTGTTAACAAAGTTTGTTCCTCTGGCATGAAGGCTGTTATGATTGCCAGCCAATCTTTGATGTTGGGTCAATCGGAAATTGCTGTTGCCGGTGGCATGGAATCCATGTCCAATGTCCCCTACTACTTGAAGAGAGGTCAAACTCCATATGGTGGCGTTAACCTTATCGATGGTATTGTCTTTGATGGTTTGTGGGATGTCTACAACAAATTCCACATGGGCAACTGTGCTGAAAATACTGCCAAGAAAATGGGCATCACTCGTCAAGATCAGGATGATTTTGCCATCAGTTCTTATAAACGTTCCGCCAAGGCCTGGAGCGACAAAGTCTTTGATGCTGAAATTGCCCCTGTGACCATTAAACAAAAACGCAAGGATGATGTTATCGTGGCCGAAGATGAAGAATACAAACGTGTCAATTTCGATAAATTTGGCAAATTGTCGACCGTCTTCCAAAAGGAAAATGGCACAGTAACAGCCGGCAATGCTTCCACATTGAACGATGGCGGTTCTGCTGTTGTCTTGATGACCGCTGATGTAGCTGCCAAAATGAACCTGAAACCTTTGGCCCGTGTTGTTGCCTTCCAAGATGCCGAAACAGATCCCATTGACTTCCCCATTGCTCCCGCCTTGGCCATACCAAAATTGTTGGAAAAGGCCGGTGTCAAGAAGGAAGATGTTTCCATGTGGGAAATCAACGAAGCCTTCTCTCTGGTCGTTTGTGCCAACATCCGTAAATTGGATGTTGATCCCAACAAAGTGAACATCCATGGTGGTGCTGTATCGCTGGGTCATCCCATTGGTATGTCTGGTGCTCGTTTGGTAACACATTTGTCGCATGCTTTGAAGACTGGTGAATACGGTTGTGCCTCTATCTGCAATGGTGGTGGTGGTGCTTCCTCCATCCTGATTCAGAAATTGTAAATTTCTGATCAAAATGAACGATAAGAATAAAGTGAAATTTATAACCAGAGATGCATTTATAAAATTAAAAAAAAATATATATATTTTTTATAAAAAGAAAATTCAATTTTCGTAAATTATTATGTAACCCCTGTTGAAAAAAAAAACAATGTGTGATATCAGTATGTGCATTTGTTTATGTATAGAAAAAAATAAAAAAAGAGAAAAATCCAGATAAGAATATTGAAGACATGACTGAGAATATTTTAATTTTTATTGTGTTTGTTGCAAAAGTGGAAAGTTTTGGGAGGCTGTTTTTATTATTGGGTTTTGTTTGTTTGGCGTATAGTGCTGTTAATTAGTTGTGATAGGTTTTTGGTTGTTGTGACCGGGAGAAAAACAAGAAAAATTCGAAATAAAGCTTGATAATAATGCATTTATATTTCCACTGTTTATTGTCCAGCACATATGTAGCTATTTTTGTCATTTAAATTGCAAAGCTGTTATCAATAATTCTTGATTAGCACACAAATTAAGGCCGATTTTCCCTTGAAGCGATGCACAGTGGATTGGAATCGAAAAATTTAAATAATTGTTTTGTAACTGAAAAGTGAACTATATTATTGAAGATAGTCAAATACAAAGAAGTAAAAAAGCAGTTAAGTTCGGCCGGACCGAGCTTTTAATACCCTCCACCATGTAGAAGGAAAAAAATGAAAACTTCTACTTTATTGAAAACCGCCAAATAGGGGCTATACAAAGACGTCAACCTTTTTATCATATGCTTTAGTAACCATTACGAACTTCAAATACGACATTTGAAACAGTTCCAGTGAATAATGGCGCTAAAATAATTAAAATATCGAATATCGGAAGGTACCGTTATATGGGGGGTATACGGAAACGTGAACCTGCATACGAAATTTTTTGTCATAGTCTGCAGTACCCATTGCGACCTTTAAATACGACATTTATTACAATTCCGTTGAAAAATGTCGAAAAAATCATGAAAATACCGAGTATCAGGAGGTACCGTTATATGGTTGCTATACGAAGACGTGAAATGCATACGAAATTTTTCATGATTTTTTTGACCTAGTTTGTAGTACCCATTAAGATCTTCCAATACGAAATTTGAAACAATTCCAGTAAATAATGCTGCTGAAATCATAAAAATACCGACTATCGGGAGGTACCTTTATATCGGTGCTATACGAAGACGTGGACCTGCATACGAAATTTTTTGTCTTAGGTTGTAGTGCACCTTAAGATCTTCCAATACGAAATTTGACACGATTCCGGTAAATAATGCTGCTGAAATCATCAACGAACTACAAATACGTAATTTTAAATATTTCCGATAAATAATGGCGCTAAAATCATGAAAATACCGATTATAGAGAGGTAGCGTTTTATGGGGGCTATACGAAAACGTGGACCGACATGGCCCATTTACGAACTTAACCTGCCTACTGGTAAACTATGCATGTATGCAAGATTGTAGCCTTCTATCTCAATTCGATCAGACAGACGGACATCGCTAGATCGTCTTAGAATTTTACGCTGATCCAGAATCTATCTATTATGAATATTTTGAGGAGCTACAAACGGAATGATAAAGCTAATATACCCTCCATAAAAAGCGAAGAAGAGATAATCTCTTAATGTTGTAGAAGATTATCTCCAAATTGTGTTTTTTTTTTAACCTGAAATTTTGATAAAATAGCTGGAGAATTTAAAAGTGTAGTAGACCGCTGTCTGGCGTGCCTCCATTGTTTTGATAATCTGAGTGGAATTTTACAACTTATCAATAGATAAGTGCACATTATAAATATAATCGACTATCTAAGCTAATTAACCGTGGTATTGCTTCTAGTCCTAGACAATTGCAGAGCCACAGTCTCAATATACATATATTTTTACTTCTTCTCAATAACATTAGTTTACCGAGTGAAGACATTAATCGTGTTCTATTCCACAGGGTATGAATGCTATTTGTGACATACGGTGATACTTTTATCTGTATGTATACATCAAATTTGTTTCATTTTTCACCACTGTACTAAACTAGATTTTCTTTGGTTTCTCAATTATATTGCCGAAGCTTGAAATACAAAATTAAAACAAATGTATCACCACCTGTGATAATCTTGTCTAAATCAAATTATTTTTCTAGTATTCTTGACAAATGTGTCGACTCATTCGTCGTCAGTTCATGTATGCTTTGACGAGGTAGCTGCATACGATTAGCAAACCTGAAATACAAATTTAAATATTTAGATGAACAAACTATAAACAAATAGAGGGGGTATTTTAATGCAGTTGTTGCTATTGAAACAGCATAATATAACCGTTGGAGACAGTTGAAAATGGTCTGTCTGTTGAAATTAAGAACGAGCTTGGCACCGGAAATTTTATAAAAACTAATACTAGGAAATCTCGAAAGTTAATTTTGCAAAGTTAGGTTACTAAAAATTTCTAATAGAAGGTAAAATTGTCTCTCTTCAACATTTTTTTTAATTGCGGATTAAGATTCCTTGAAATTTTTACATTTTAGGTAAAGTGATCAAAAATGTAACGAAATGCAATTTCAATAACCAAAGAGGCCTTTTAGGCCAAACAAATGGATAAAAGTGCCTTCAAATGGGATCGTTGCAAGCAATTTTTTTTATAAATTATTTTTTGTAGGTATGATAATTTTTAAGAAAATTACGATGACCTAATCCAGCCAAAAAGTCTAATATGTATTCTCACCTTTATCTCTTTTCTTACATTTAAAGTACGCTCTCTCAGAAAAATCTCTATCTTTAATTTCTCCCATTACCAAATTTAGTACCATTTAGTACAGTTATTTAACGCATATCCAAAACCATCTCATTCTTTCAACCATAGATAGCATGACCTTCAGCTTAATTCCATCACCCAATCCAAAATTTAGTGCTATTCGTACAATTATAGTGTACATTTCCAAAACCACCTCCATATCAAATTTCGGGAATCCAGCTCTATTCCTTCACCCAATACCAAATTTAGTGCCATTTATTACTTTTCGAACCAATATATGACGCATTTCCAAGCCCACCTCCAAACCTCAAACACAAGTATTACTAGTAAAATAAATATGAAATTTCAAACTTCAGCTCTGAAACAAGCTTCATAAGTCATAAGCAATCGCAATACCACATTTCAGATTTCAAGCACTATAAATTTTACCAAATATATCACATTTTCAAAACCACTTCTTTATCACAAATCTTCCTGTTGGTACCTCAATAGAAAATATCAAAATTCCAGCTTTATCCATTCATCCTTAACTAAACTGTTCCATATTTAGTACAGTCCGCAGACTAAGTACACATTTCCAAAAACACCTTCAGATATCAAACTTATTCCCATCTGTATTTTCATACCAAATTTCAAGATTTTAGCTCTATCCGTTTGTACCATTTTAGAACTTTTGTGACCTTAAAGTTCGAATTTCCAATAACCCTTTCTCATTCCGTTTGTCCAATACAAAGTATTAAATTTTTATTTCATATTAGTATGAACGGGTTTGAATGAATCTAAATCAGAAAATTTCAATACACATATTTTATATTGTTAGCTATACTTTCATAATCTGCTGGATTTGGAAAAAAAGAATTTTGTCGCACGGGGTAATTAGCAATTTAGAACAATTGGTAATTTCAAAATAATACAAATCTTATTTTTTGTAAACTTTATTGTACATAGCTACAGAAAGTATATAATAAAAAAACCTATCATCTAGCATTTTGTACAATTCCAAGGTCTGCATCTGCATCTAATTTAAAACTAATCTTCATCTGCAGTACTAATTTGTTTGATTTTTATCGTTTTCCCAGTATTGCGTTGAAACATTTCACTCAGGGCTTCATCGGACATTGTAGAATGATGTACACGAGATAGGTGGCGTTTGAACCTAAAATTCAAAATCAGAAAAATTAATTTTGCCTACTCCCGAAATAGTCGCGTTCACAAAACTTACACAACACGCGTTGAGAAACCATGATCGTCGCACAGTTCACAACGATATGGCATGCCAGTGTGTTTAAATGAGTGGGTTTTGAGTTTCTGTTTGGAATTGAATTCGGCATTACATTCTTTGCAACGATGCTTGACGCCATAGTGTTTTTGCAGATGATATGTCAGACGTACCTTTATGGCGAAACGTTTATCACACAGATGACAGGCATAAGGCATTTCTCCGGTATGTGATCGCAGGTGGACATTTAAATCGAATTGTCTAGCATATTTCTTGTCACAATGCGGACATGGTATGTTCTTTTCCAAATGTAGTTTCATATGATTTACCAGTTGATTTTTTAGTTTGAAGGCATTACCGCATATCGAACAGACGTTGTCACGTTCTTTGTGGGCCTGTTTACGATGTGTCTCCAGCAGAAGTTGTGATGAATATTGGCGACCACATTCGTCGCAGGCATAGGTTGCCTCCGAAGATTCGCCTTCATGAATTCTTTCGTGCTGTTGCAAAGATTTTTGATTCTTAAATTCCCGTGCTGGAATCAAAGGAATGGGATTATTTTAATTGATGGTAGTATTTTTACATTTTCATTAGCAAAATTTGAAGAGAATTATTTTAGGGGTCGCTCCCCATTTAAGGCATTGAGATTCCACTTCCAATCTCTACCGAATCAGAGACTTCACTGGCGGCACATTAGGAGGGATAGTGTCAACTTAAAAATAAACCTCAATATGATTTTACAAATAGTAAAGATAAAGATTTGTGGAACAAATACTTACGACAGTAGGCGCATAACAATTTATTAGGATCCTCCCTTGTTTTCCTACCTTTTCGTTCGTGGACCAGCATATGCCGTTTTAGGTTTTTCTTTAGTAATTTCTTTTTACACACTTCACAATAGACTATGACATCCACCGAGTCCAGCGTGTTCTCCTCAAATTCCTCTTCAACTGTTATATCCGGATCCTCTGTGGCGGACATATTACACTGATCCTGATGAAGATGTAATTCCTCTATTGTTTTACATATTTGTGAACAATAATCACATTGATACACCAAATCCGAATGTGTTGCCTCTTCCTCATTGTTTTCTTCTCTACGTATGTGGACGCGTTGTAAGTGGTCGATTAAATCGTCTACTGCAGTATCAGGACAAAAGGGGCAGGTGGTTAGATGACAACGATTACCGTGCGTTAGGGTAAGCTCATGCAATAGAAGTTCCCAATCGTTTGTGAATTCCCTATTGCATTCTAGGCATTTGAAAGGTTCGGAGGGATCCTTCTTATTTGATTCGACTTGTTTCGAATTGATTTCTTCCTCTTGTGGTCTATTATGTCTGAGCTGCTTGTGTTTTTTCAAAACATTTCGACATCGAAACTGGCATTTACATGACGGACATTTATGAGGACGTAATTGTTTGTGCATATTCATGTGACCTTCATATGAGACATCTCCGCGCAGCACCCGCTTACATTCTATGCATTTCCATTTGGGTGGTTTGAAATTATAAAATGGTTCCTCTGCTGGATTATAGGCTATCTGATAGTCATCATCACATTCATCTTCATGGCAATAATTTCGCGATTCGGGCTTATCCAGTTCCTCGGTTCGTTGGGCAATGGCTGCCACTTGAGCCAATTCTTCCAAGTTGCCATTCAGATCATTACTATTTCTAAGCGTCTGAGGCTTGTTATGAGACTCCACATCTTGCACGTCTTCAACAACTTCGAATATTTCTTCTTCAATTATTTGGTAATTGTCCTTAAAGTATAAAAAATTATTCCTACTTCATATTCCTAGAACATAAAAACCCCAACTTACATATTCCTCTACCAATTCACCATCTACCGTCAGCACTTCTTCCTCCTCCATCACACAACCGGTTATACCATCATCATTTTCTGCCACGAAACAATCTTCTTCCAATATGTGAATATTTCCATCCTCAGCTTCGACGGTGTTCAATTTCTCCTGCTGCAATTCCTTTCGCAGTACCTCGTCTGCATGGCGGATAAGTAAACCAAACTCGAATATATTCTGTATTTCCGCAGAGCAATCACAGCATATTTTCTGGGGAAGACCATCGTTTTGCTGGATATCCACTTCGGCTATGTGACGTATATTATCGGCATAGGTAAATGTGGATTTGCAATTATCAAAGATATCCAAATAACGATGGGAGTCATTTAGACATATGCGACAACGTCTTAGTTCCATTTTTAATTCACCAAAGACTATGAAGCGGAAGGACTTTCTTCAAAGGAAAGGAAGTGGCAACAAGCCGAATACAAAGAATGTATAGAAAGTGGAAGAGGCAACACAGCGCAACAGCTGTTTATGTGTTTACATTCGTACAGCTGCTTTGATGGCGTGCGTTCAGCCAGGGGTGCCTCAATGAATGTCGAGCACAATGCCAGCGTTTGTCTTGTTAATTTTAACGCCAACGCTTTCATTTAGATGATAAATTACATTTATAGCTCGTTTAAATACAAAAACCGTACGTTGACAAGTATTGTCGCGGAAGTACAACGAAAAACGGCCTTTGAGATTGAAAACTCTAAAGGCTTGGGGACATAAGCAGCTTGGCATCATGGTTACACATATAAATGTCAAATGACAGGATTTGAGTGCGGCTCTGGCATCCCTTGAGATCGTGTAAAGACAATGAAAAATTACCATTCTGGTTGAAACAATTTTGTTTACCTTATCATAAGTTTAATTCACAATTGACAATACGGATGAAAAGAGCTGATCTTATGATGCCCTTAATCATGGTATAATGGTATAGTCTAAACAGGCGTTTTGACTACTAAATCAATTCAAATGTCGATTCCATATCGACACATCACGTGAATCGTCACGTAAATCTTATTTATAAATCCAGTGTATATTATTTGAGGTATACGGTATAGAATTTACATTTGAGATCGAGTGCATATAGACAATACAGATCTGGCCTCATCGGACAACCTTTTGAACAGGCCCTCACCCGAATAACGAATTGTTCAAGACCAGCTTTATCAACAGTGACTTTAATATCGAATTTCATGATTTCAGCTCTTTTATTTCCCGCATGTGAGATAAAAAAAACTGCAACAAAGTCAAACGCCATAATTTTTATTTTATACCCTCCTCCAAAAAAAGTATGGAGGGTATATTAAGTTCGTCATTCCGTTTGTAACTCATCGAAATAATCATTTTAGACCCAACAAAGTATATATATTCTTGATCAGCGTAAAATTCTAAGACGATTTAGCCCTGTCCGTCCGTCTGTCCGTCTGTTGTGATCACGCTACAGTCTAAACGAATTAAGATAGGAAGCTAAAATTTTGCATAGATCTCTCTATCTCTATCTCTCTCTATCGGTCCACGATATTGTATAGCCCCATATAACGGTACCCCCGATATTCGGTATTTTGATGATGTTAGCCACATTTTTCAATGGAATTGTCTGAAAACGGTACCCCGATATTCGGTATTTTGATGATGTTAGCCACATTTTTCAATGGAATTGTCTGAAAATCCACACAAGTAATTCTTTGTGGGTACTTTATACCTCGGCAGAGAATTATCTATATAGGTCCACAATATCGTATAGCCTCCATATAACGGTACCCCCCGGTATTCGGCATTTTGATGATTTTAGCCACATTTTTCAACGGAATTGTCTGAAAATCCACACAAGGAGTTCCTTGTGGGTACTTTATACCTCGGCAGAGAATTATCTATATAGGACCACGATATCGTATAGCCCTCATATAACGGTACCCCCGATTTTTGGTATTTTGATGATTTTATCAACATTTCCCAATGGAATTATCTGAAAATCCACAGAAGGAGTTCCTTGTGAGTACTTTACCCCAGACATAGATTTGTCTATATAGGTCCACAATAGCGTATATCCCCCCATATATCGGCACTTCCGATATTAGGTATTTTAAAGATTTTAACAGAATTTTCAATGGATTTTATTTTTTTTAATATTTTCTAATTCGTTCCAAATAGTGGAACGAATGAAAGCTAAAATGTCGGAAATAGCATCAAATTTTAGAATAAGTTTAGATTGGTTCGAATTGGTCACCTTTGGCACGATTTATGGCCTTCAAACGGCCAATGAAACCATCACACGCTGCCCGAATGTTGCTTTGCGGTATTTTGGTCCATTCCCGGCGAAGCGCTTGCTTGAAATGATCAACACTTTGGTATTTTTTAGCTGTTTTGAGTGTATTTTCTTTCTGTTGCGGTGTAAGTTCTTGCACTTTTTGGAATTTCAATGGCTTTACTCCGAGCTCATTTTTCAATATATGCCGAATGGAATATTGCAATGTTCACTTCACGAGCCATTTTCGGCCACTGCGACGCGGATTTCGATCAAGTCGCTTCTTTACTGTTTGAACCATTTCTGCTGATGTTGCTGTTTTCTTCTGTTCACTTCCTTGACGTCGGGCTACTCTACCAGTATCACGGCGAGCGATGGTACTAGACGCAAAAGATTTATTCACATTTAAATGCTGAAGTGCTCTTACGATAGCCACTTCTGGTTTTCCTGCCAAATATAAAGAAATCACACTATCACGCTTGAATTCCATCACGATTATTTTTTTAATTTAATATTTGGAATAATTTTTAACAGTTGTTGAACAGTTGAAGTTGGTTGCAGTTTTTTTATCTCACTCTGTATTAGTTTTCGCGAAGTTGAGGAAATTCGGGACTGATTTAGACTTGATTTCAAATTTTTGAAAATATGTGGAAGAGGTCCCAAGACGAATGAACATTGTCATACTGGATCAATCGTCGACAAAAATATTAAGATGCATGGAAAGGGAAAATCAGAGATTAAATTTACTTATTTTGAGTATTATGATTATTGAATAGAAGAAGTGGATAGATATTTTCCATTTTCTCTCTAAAGAAAATCGGACATTGAATAATGTTACTTTTATTGAAATGTTGACCTTATATTTTTCTTTATCTAAATCTGGACTATATCGGGTACCCTTTTCTCTTTATGTGATACACATAATTGTTTTGACAAAATTGTACTTTTATGGGTGAGGTACCAGAAAGAGTTATCAGATAATGCCCATCTCCGAACGAGATCTGAGTTTGACAAAAATATTAAGATAAGTAAGGTTTGGACCATCTAGTTTGTAAATCATATCAAGAATCTATGTCTTTGAGCCTCAATGCTACTTTTGTTACCTAAAACTTGTGTAAAGTTAAGGCATCCATTTGAATTTTTTTTTTATTTCTTTGCTCCCGACACTGACATAGCAATTTTAAAATTTAACCAAATAAAAAACACTTCTATTTAAATTGCAACAACAAATAAATTTATGTTTATATATATTTTTCTGTTCTTTAACATAAAGCGTTTTTCTTATTTAGTATTATTATTATTAGTATTAATATTCTCTTTTTTTAAATACATGTTGACGGCAATAAGTCTTAAGGCATATACGTCGTTTTTCTATCTCTCTTTCCTTAATTGTCCTTCAAAATCATTGGCAAGACGGCGTGGGGTTCATTGTTACGTGGATTATCCGAATAGAGGGCGACGGTCCGTTCATTCAAATCAAAAATACCAATGGCAATTGTCTTCACCTCTTGATTCATCGAACCATTTTCACGGAACACACAATGTTCGCCACCCGAGCAATCGCCCAACATGGTGATAATGTCCTGTTTCGATTTGGCCGGTTCATAGGTGGCGAAAGTGTTCATACGCGATACACTGGAATCGATCATAGTTTGATTGGCCTGTTCGATTTCGATGCGTTCGTATCTGTAGGGAAATGTGAAGAAATTAAATATTAGAAAAATCTTTAAGATTTTCTCGCTCGATTTCCAAAAACTCTAAGAACCCCGAAAATATGTATTTTCTTGATTAAGTGCATTTGGTCCGATTTCTACAATCTTCATAAAAGATTTGTGTTGACAGAAATTTTGAGATGTGCTAAGTCTGAATGGAATCGGATGTTAATTTCGCATTTTATAAGCTTCATGGATATTCAAAATTTGTACTCTTTGTGGGGGGAAGTGCCAGAAGGAGTGGACCGATATATCCCATCATCACAGCAAATCTTGGGTTAGTAGAAACAATGGGATGTGTGAAATATGAAGATAACCAGATGCTTATTTCCGATTTTATAATCATTTTGGTTATTTGAAACTTTGACCCTTTGTGGAGGATGTACCAAAAGGAATGATTCGATCTCTACGATCTTTATATCAGATCTTGTGCTGATAGAAATAATGAGATGTGCGAAGTCTGAATATAATCGGATGTTAGTTTCGCGTTTTATGACCTTCGTGGTTATTGAAAATTGTGACTCTTTTTGGGGGGAGGTACCAAAAGCAGTGGACCGATATATTCTATCTTCACGGGTTAATAAAAACATTGTGTTGTGTGTAATTTGAAGACAATCACATATCAAAAGAGTTGTAATTATTCAAAATTTTGAGCATTTATGGGATAGGGATTTATCATGAACAAACAAAGTTGGAACAAAATCGGATCATCCTTCCTCTTTCTGTGCAGTAAAATATTTTTTCTTTGAAAATATCGATCTTTTGTGGGGGAGTTACCAGAAGGAGGTGCCCATCGGACGGACATCGCTAGATCGACTTCAAATGCTCTGAAACGGATTTGGTTTAAAGAAATCTAGAGTCTAATACCATTATTTCGATGAGGCACGTTTTGGCCGCATCAAATGATATGCACCCTCTGTAGCCTTATGGCTGACGGCATCAAAAGTCCAAAGGTCAACAATTATTGTCAAATAATTTTAAATATTTTCCAAAGACTTCCTGGACAAGAATAGTTGATTTTACCGTCATAGGTTGTAGTACCCATTACGAGCTTCAAGTGCGAAATTTGAAACCATTCCAAACCATCATCAAAATACCGAAAATCGGGAGGTACCGGACCTGGACCTGCACAGACAATTTTGTGTCTAAGGAATTTTCATTAGAGGCTTCCACATATTTCGAAGATTCGAGACCCCTAATTTTCAACTGAATACCGAATACCTAATGAATTATCTGCGATGATTTGGTACACTGCATGGTAGAAGAATATAGGTCGGCGCTTCGACACAGCTGCTGGGACAATGAACTGTCAAACCAATTTTGGAATCGAAATTGTTGAATGGAAAATTACTCAAATTTATAAATATTTTAAAAAAATGCATATTATAACAACCTCCGATTGGCGTCGTGTAGGAAAACATATACAAATATACTTATTTTTGAAGAAATATTTAAAAAATTTTGACATATCAATATTTCCAAGCGTTGATGCATATACCTGTATTTTTCTACAATGGTACACTGAATAATTACTTACTTATTAGCGTGATAGCTATGATCGCCAGTCTCAATTTTACGAATATTCAGTGTCGATTCTTTGCTGTTGCCCTCAGTGGGAGCCATTTCAATGTTATAGCACAGATTGGAAGGATCACTGCAATGAAAAGAAAGTACCGACAATTAATTACAACGAAAAAAATCTCCTTTACTTTAAGACATTACTTTATGAAACACATATTAATGGAACAACCATCACCGGCACCCACACCAGCATCCCGAATAATTTTCATGGCCTGATCGGTACTATCGGCACTCAAAAGGGCACGGGTAAGGAAGTGTCTTGCTAGAAAAAGAAAAATTTTCAATTAATTTACTTAATTCAATTGCGATTGGGTCTCAAAGCTTACGTGTCTTGCCACTTCGCAACACCTCAGCCGATAGGGTGTTAATGGAAAATACCAAACCATGATGATTGTAATTCATGGTGTAACCTGGCAGATGACCGGCATAGCATAGCGACATAAAACGTTCTTCCTTGACGTTGTACTTTCCTTGTGGTGTGTCATTAATGATGTGTGCCACAACAAAATAGTAGTGATTTAAGGTTTCAGTCAAGGCATCTTCGGTATGGCCCAATACTCTCTAAGATTGGAATATAAGCAATTTTTATAATTTATTCTCAATATTTGTTTTCAGTTTATTTACCTCCTTATCATTGTTCACAATAATGGTAGAACATCCCACGGGCTGTTTTTTGATGGTATTCAAATGTTTAACACTCTGTGGCAGAATGTCATCCATGTGCAATAAGAAGAGCTGAAATAAAAGAGATTTAAATTAAAATTTTAGCATTTACTGAATTCGATAACTCTATTATTTATAACAATGATTTGGATGCATTTTCCATAAGAGTCAAAAATCGGGCGGGCCCGACTATATGATACCCTTCACCACATATAAAGTAGAACTCCAACCTATCAACATTTGGCTTTAGAGTAGTTATAGTTTGGTTTCAGAGGAGCTAATATATTGGAGACATATTCAATTCTGAATCGGTTTTCACCAAATTTGACGGAGACATCTTAATCTTTTACACCAAATAACATTTCCATAGAGTGCATGATATCACTTCGAGAAGGATTATATTAAGAACCAGTAAGGAAAGGTTAAAAGTCGGGCGGGGGCTACAATATGATACCCTACACCACTAGGTGTATTTAGGAACTGATATTAGTCATTTGGGGCACAATAAACCTGATATCAGATAAAGATGGGAGCTATGTTATAATCTGATCCGTTCTCGATAAAATTTAGCAGAGGTGTTTTTGAGCAGTATTTGATACCCAGTATCAAATATCATTGTTGTGGAGTGCGTATTACGCATGTGAGAGACTTTAACACTAAATCGGATGAAACACATATTTGGGAGTTATATCTATATCTGATCCGATTTTCACCAAATTTGAAGTATTTGTTTCTGGGATGAATTCAGTCGGAATTGCTAAAATCAGTCTATTTAGGCTGATATTAGCCATTTTGTGCACAATAAACCTGATATCGGATAAGGATATATTTGGGAGCTATATATAGTAATCTGAACCGAACTCGATAACATTTGAAAGAGGTATTTACGGCAGTATCTAATGTCCGGAAAAAATATCATTCTTCTGGAGTTTATATTTCGCATGTGAGGGACTTAAACATTAAATCGGATGAAACATATATATGGAACATATATATGTACTTGCTTCTAGACTGAATTCGGTCGGATGTGACAAGATTCAGGTCATTTGGACGGATATTAGACATTTGGTACACAATTAAACCGAAATCGGTTAAAGATATATGGGAGCTGTATCCAAATCTGATCCGGTTATCACCAATTTCAAAACGGTTCGTCCTTGAGCCAAATAAATATTGTTTGGAAAATTTCATCTCAATCGGATAATAAATGCGACCTGCATTTTGTTCACAAGGATACATGGACAGACGGACGTACGGACAGACGGGCTGATATGCATAAATTGACTCAGAATGTGATTTTATGAAGTAACTATGGGTCTATCTCGCTTCCATCTCCATGTTACAAACAAATGCACAATGACCACTATGTGGATAAGGGTATAAAAATGTTTGACCAAGGCCTCTTAATTTAGGATTTTTCAGAAAATTAATATTACAATATTTAAAATTTTCACTTGTCCCACCTTAACGAAGTTTCGGCTTGTTTATGTTATGTAATCTTCATAATTTTGTTTCTTTCTTCCATAATATCCCTTCTAAATCTTTATGTAGACTAGTGTCAAAGAATTAAAGACTCAATCCAATATCCGAAAACTAAATCATATAACAATGCTAAGGCCGCCAAAAAAACTGCTAAGGTTGTCCAGATGGCAGAAGCCAAATAAATTCGTTGAATGTCATTCAGCTTGTCCATATGTGTGAGTGAGTGTGTGTGTGTGTCTGTGTCCATGTTTTTGCGGACAGTGTACAGCTTAATTCACACTATTCTTTCAAATACCATGTATTTAGCTTAGTTAGTTGGTTAGTTAGTAGCTTGCCACCAAACATTATTCATTAGCTGGCCAATTCTTAAGTCTTGTTGACTTTTAGACGTTCCGCAATTATGTCTTATTTGTGGCAGCCAACCATTTGGTGCAAAAAAAAAACATCATTCAAACGAACATACATACGATACATATCGATCATGCCGAAGAAAAATACAAACAACATGTAATATGTTATGTGATGGTTACATGGTGTGTTTGAGTGTACGGATGGTTGTTATTGGATAGGTTCATTATAGCAATTACATGTTTACTATTTGGAGTAGCATAACGACATTTGGTTTACTCTAGGTTAAGGTGGCAATTTACAAGAAATTAAATAATGAATCTACCACCTGCTTCTCGATGTTCAAAGTTTACATCATTCGATGTAATGATCTAATATTTTGATTTATTAATTGTGTGATCAGTGGCGTAGTTGAGATTAGGTTAACGGTGGTTTTCACTTGAAAAACCTATTGAAACAAGTTAAAAAGTATCAGTTGGTTTTGCCGAACGATGTATACCCTCAGCCAGTTGATTATTTGTTAACTTCTGTTATGATTATTCAAATGTTTGACCCTCTGTGGAGTAGGTTCCGAAGGAATGTCCATTTCGTATCGGACCTACATAAATATGATATGAATATTGCGACGTGCCAGGTTTGGACTAGTCGATATAATTTCTTCCTTCACTACCTTCACTTTATATGAGATATCTAATAAATTTCTTGAAAATGCTAAAATGTGCATGATATACCAGATATAGTCATCCGAAGTATTCCATTTTCATAAATCATCTGATCCAGATAAAAGTATTGGTATGGACAAAACTACAAGAAAATTGAACATTTATATCCAATTTTATGTGAAATTATAAATTGCATATTCCTCTCAGGTTCCTGATTGAGAGAAATATTTAGATATAGGAAGTTGTAAAAAAATACTGACCTGTTTCGCAAGTTATGACAGATAAAAGAATTAAAAATTGTGATTCCTTGTGGGTGAGGTACCCGAAGGGGTTCGCAGATACATATCATCTTCACAATAGATCTTGTGTTAGCAAAAATGTTTGTATGTTTGAAATTTGAATGTTTATTTCGATTTCTTGAGCATTTGTTTTTTTTTTTTTAAATCTTGAAAAATATTTGGGAGATGTACCAGAGGAAATAATCCAATCTGTACCATCTTTATGACAGATCTTGTGTTTATGGAAATATTGAGATGTACCAAGTCTTTTTGCGTTTTATTCAAAATTTTGACCTTTTGTGGGAGAGGTACCAGAAAGAGTGGACCGATTTATCCCATTTCCACACCAGAGCTTGGGTTAATAAAAATATTGCGATGTGTGTAATTTGAAGAGAACTGGATGCTTATTTCAGATTTTATGATCGTTTTGGTTATTCAAAACTTTGACCCTTTTTGGAAAGGTTCCAGAAGGAATGGTCTGATCTCTGCCAAGTCAGAATGGAATCGGATGTTAATTTCGTGTTTTATGAGCTTCATAAATATTCAAAATGTTGACCCTTTGTGGGGGAGGTATTAGAAGTAGTGCACCGATATATTCCATCTTCACGCCAGAACTTGAGTTATAAAAATATTGAGATGTGTGTAATTTGAATACAATCGGACACTTACATCACATTTTATAAGAGTTATAATTATTGAAAATGATAGGCCTTTGTGGGGGAGGTAGTTGATGGAGTGGACCGATATTGTCCATTTTCGCATCTTATCAAGCACTGACGCAAAAATTAGGATTTGCAAAGTTGGAGCAAAATCGGATTATCGTTTCACTTTCTTTACAGAAAGTATATTTTTTGAAAATTGTGACCTTTTGTGTGGGAGGAAGGAGTGGACCGATATTGCCCATCTCCGAACTCGATCAAAGTTTGACAAAAATATTACGATGTACCAAGTTTGAACCAAATCGGATACTCCCTTCGGGAGTTAACGGGCGGACGGACATCGCTAGATTGACTCCATTTGTCCTGAAACGTATTTGGTCCAAAGAGACCTAAGGTCTAAAATTGCACGTTTTGTCCGTATCAAATGATATATACCCTCATTAACCACATAGCTGACAGTATAAAAAATTGGAAATCTTAAAAATAACCCTTAAAAATGCATTATTTCTGATTGAATTAATACAGATCAGAAGTTCTTTAAGAAAATATTTCCACGAATTCATATCAGAAAATCCAAAAAATCCTTTAAAAATCCATGATTTCAGATCAGAAAAAAATAAATTCTAAAAGATCAATGATTTCAGAAAGTTCTTAAAGAATCCACGAAACAAAATTAAAGAATCAACGATTTAAGACCAGAAGATTCTCTGATAAAAAAATCTTTAAAAATTCACGATTTCTGATCAGGAGATCCTTGAAAATTTTGACGGTTATTGAGCGGTGAAGTAACCCCATTCATCCCATTATTGCAATTTATTGGAATATTGGAAGAATCATAGTTTAATTTCACATTTTGTTGCTTTGGTAAGAGAAAGAATTTCCTGATATATTTCATTTTCACACTTGACGTAATATTGGGAATAAATATTTGGATGGCAACGTTTGAATAAAATCATGCACTAATCTAAAATCCACTAAATATTTGATTAATTTGATAAACAATATAAATAATTTATAGAGTCTCCGACAAATATTTCGGGGTGTTACAACAGATAATCCCTACAATCCATTTTCCTACAAATGTTAAAAAAATGATATTGTGAACTCGGCTTTACAAAGGTTTAGGAACCTAAATTAAACAGTGATTAAAAATAGTAATAATTCTAGGAACAAAATTGCATGCACAAATTGTAAAAAAAACCCTTGACCTATTCAAATTTATCGCCTTTGAAGGTAGTTAATTAAACTTTGCGTTTTACATTTCTTACAAGAAAAGTGTGAAGCAAATACACCTAATACCACGCAATATATTTCTTTGGCTTCAAACGTGTATGTATGTGCATGGACACAGGTTGGCTTGTAACATTGCCACTCGAACGGTTTTCAATGTTAAATTGCGGTTTAACTTAACCCCCTTCCCACCAAAATACCCCAACAACCAATTGGTGGTATTAAGTTGCACGAAGAGTAATGAACTAAAAAATTAAAACAAAACACATTGGCGTGTCATTTTTGAATCGCATTATATTTTTTAGTTAACCGTTATGTGAAAGATATACTTGATTGATATACACTTGGAAAAATTGTGTTATAAGGTTTATTATGAATATTCCTTTTTGGTTAATCGTAGCAGGCAGTAGTTA